TATGTGTGTATGTGTGTATGTATATATGTATGTATGTATGTATGTATGTTTGCACCTCTTTAAGCCTGGCGGAGTGTGATGTTCTGAGCACCTGCTCTTCTGCGCTCTGATTGACAGTGAAGTTGAAGCGTGTTGATCTGTCCAACATTAGAAACCGCCTGCAGACGTGTGTGTATAATCAGCTTCTGCATCATACATCTGCGGTCCTGTGCTGCTCTCACAAACACACACACAAACATTTATCAGGCTTCATGTGGTTGTGTTGAGATCTGACACTTACCTGAAAGAATTGTATGCGCATTTTCTGCAGGACTGGAGTTGTTGGGATTTTGAGTTTTTGTAAGGCTTCATTAATTAATTCATTAATTTTACTTTGACTTAGTCCCTATATTCATCAGGGTGATCACGATGGAATGAACCGCCAACTCATTCATTCATTCATTTTCTGTTTTGGCTTAGTCCCTTTATTAATCCAGGGTCACAACAGCGGAATGAACCGCCAACTATTCCAGAATATGTTTTACACAGTGGGTGCCCTTCCAGCTGCAACCCGATACTGGGAAACACCCATGCACACTCATTCACACACATACACTACAGCCAATAATAATAATTATATATGATAATCTAATAATAATAATAATAATAATTACACAATAATTATAATTATAATAATTATGAAAATAATACTAATTATTATTATTATTATTATTATTATTATTATTATTATTATTATCATTATCATTATCATTATCATCACCATTATTATGATTATTATTTAATATTTTTTGTGAAAATCATTAATAATAATTTATATATTGATATAATAATATAAAGTTGAATTTTTTGCATCAATTTTCTAGACTTGTCTCACTATTATATTATTCATATGCCTGTTGCAAACAGTAACAACTTTGCAGAAACTTTTTTAATTTTATTTTAAAAGTAGGATTATTATAATTACCTACACATAAATGGTAAAGCAAAACAAAACGTATTTGAAATAATTGCTGACTGTAAATAAAACATAGAAACATTAGAATTCATTGTTTTCCAGCTGGTTGTCAAGAAAATAAACAACAAAAAAACACAAACCCGATTACTAAAACTTAAACATTAACATGAACATTTTTATTATGTTTGTATTTTAATATATATATATATATATATATATATATATATATATATATATATATATATATATATATATATATATATATATATATAGAGAGAGAGAGAGAGTGTGTGTGTGTGTGTGTGTGTGTGTGTGTGTGTGTGTGTGTGTGTGTGTGTGTGTGTGTATATATATATGTGTG